GGTCGCTGTAAGAAGGAAACTTTCACGGGACATCTCGAGAATTCCACGGAGGAAAAAAGCGGAACGAAAGAACACAGGAGGGGAGAGGGGGGGGGGGAGAGGGAGAAAGAAAGAAAAGGGAAGAAGAAACACGGCGGTGGGTGGTTATAAGAGAACGGCGACAAAGGTGCAACAATTACTTTATTTTGACTTTTGCGGCCGGCTCCTCGGGATCGTTTGAGCCGACCGGCGTTGCTTTGTCCCCGTGTCGGACGTGAAAACGCGGCAGAAGAAGCACCCGTGGCGCATTTACCTGTTCCGTACCTGTCAACCGCGCCGGAATATCACGCCGATCTCCCGTATCGCGACAAATGGTGTTACGGCGACCGGTCGCTTTTAAGACCGCGCCGAATTCTATGCCTCTTGGTGCGTATACACGTATATTGCTGGTGTTAAAGGCCGAGTCATCGAGCATCGGGGATCCTCTTGGAAGCTCCCTCCTTTCGCATCACGCAACTTTCGCAAACAATTCGCTCAGCTGGAGAGATTTATGGAGAGCGGAGAGTCGTTTGCCGAACTTTTATAGAATCTGTAGCTTCCTTATGGAACCCGTGGCTGAGAAGCCGGCGTTCAAAATTTTTTAGCGAAGCGCAATTTAGAATTCGAGGCGAATGGAATTCAGAGTTTCAAGCTTCTGGAACGTATAATTTAGAGTTTGAAAGGAAAATCAACGTTCCTCAGAGAGAGACCTTGAAATTCTTGGAGCGAAAATTTTGAGGGAAATCGAATTTCGATTCAGTCTTCAACGGATGAAATTCAACGAAATCGAAAATGTAATTTTTAGTGTAGATTCTTCGAAAAGGAGTGGAACTTATGTTGAGGATTATTCTAAGGGAATGTGCTAGAGGTAACAAGTTCAGAGGATGTTTGTAATTTGACTGGTTTCTTTAAGCGGTTCCTCTCGCATTTTGCTTGAAAATTTCCGCGTCGAATTCGTGGTCGTTTCAAATGGAAATCGGTGAAGCCGATACCGACTCGATTTTCATGCTCTTCACACGGTCGAAATCCGTAGTTTGGTGAAGAAAGAAACGGACGACGTTGAAAAATCGGCTGGCCTCAGTCTGTTTTGCAACTGAATGATCTAATTTCGAGAGAAGGCATTCTGGTTTCATTTGAACAATCGGTTCAACGAAGATTTACGACTTCAAATCTACCCTACTGTGTAAGTATCGAAAAATCAGTCACCTTTATTAAAATAATTCAATCGAAAATAAATCATTGGACTTTGGCAGAATTTAACTTCAAAAATTTCGAATAAACTTGCGAGAAGTCTCTTACAAGATAGAATTCGACAAACTTACGTGTAAGATCGAATGACAAAACGGTTGACACGAGAGAGAGAGAGAAAAAAAAAAGAAAATCTCACGAAGATGCGACGGAAGAATGATCACGAGAAAGAACGAATCAAACGCGAGTGCTCGATCCTGCTTCGCACTCGAATGATCTAATTTCGATCTCGCTACGTGTTCGCAATAAAGCCGATCCGACGACTTTCCTCGAAGTCTGTTCTCCTTGGCGAATGAATAGAAAAATACAGCAACGGCACCAGGACGCTCCGATTTTCCGCGGCGACGATCTCGTTGACTTTTTGCTGCGATTCTTGGTCGATTGTGAACCGACCGTGCGATCCCAGATGCCCTTCAGATCCTGCTCACAATGCAATTACGCGGGTCTACGATTTCTCGGTCAGCTCGCGTTATGGTAAACGAGCCGTTTAAAAGTCGTTTC